TCCATGACGATTTATTTCGCAATTGGATAAAAGATTGCTGGCAGGCATCTTGTTTTTTTTATGCGGTATCTTGGACGTGCTCTGTCAGTTTTCATTCCAATTTGGCACTTTATACATGTTAGGATGCATGTCCATGACAATTTGTTTCAAAATCTGGTCAAGGATGACCGATTGACAGCCATCTGACTTTTTGGCCTTACTACTATATTTCCACAATTTATGTACCATTTTCATTCGTATTTAGCACATACATCGTACATATCAGTGTGTTTCATAATCAGATCAAAGATGGCCGAATAACGACTGTTTTTATTATTGGCCATATTACTACTACACGGAACACGTGTTTTGATGTAAATAAACAATCTGTTGTATATGCCAATTGGAACTCAAGTTTCAAGGACATGCTCCCGACAATCCCTCCGCTTTAATATGACGAGCACAAAGAGAACTTTCAATAATTTAACGGGGACTGTGTCATTTTCAATGACTTGTTTTTTTTTTTATTTCATATTAATTTCATCTTTTGCAGGAATTATTGTGCCTTTTACCCCTCTACTCATTTTAAAGTGAAGAGAATGAATAAATAATTTTGGTATCCGTCCAAGGGTCATCCATCCATGGCTATTTACAAATGTGGTGATATATATACTGCCATTGTGGTTTTACCCACCAGTACGTCGCTGAAACTGACTGCGCCATTTCACTGGACTTCAATAAAGATGGAAGGATACTTTAACGTGACAAGACATTATATACAAATGTAACTTTTTCTGGAATTGGTGCAACAAACAATTGAACACAGCCTGGTAATATATGCTATGATATTCTGGAACTATCGAGGCTGATGCGTTTTTTTTTTCTAATGATTATCATTTTTCTTAGTAACTGACTGACTTCCTTGCATTGAGGGCAGTATCATGCCAACAAATATTCTGAAAGGAGAAATTTTCACTGGGTATGATTGTTGTTAATTCATTGGATAGTTTTATGAAAGAAACAATACACTCTATGATCAAATGAACTTGCATGGTCTGTGATAATTTAGCTATAAGCAAATATATAAACCCCAGTGAATTATTACCCTTTTATGGTAGTTACTTTATGTGGCATGTAGGTATTCATTTGAAGACTTCCATTTACAAATCACTTCATTAGATATGCATCTTTATTTGTCGAATTAAAAACAATTGTCATTTTAGAATTTTTCACAGAACTTTCAAAATTGCTGTTGATATTTGAACGTAACTGCCAAAACTGATACTTTCTGTGGATCTGATTTTATTTTTATTGATTTATGATACCAATTGAATGTCATGCTTAATTAAAACTTGTTCTTTTATTGATAATGCCCAAGTCAGCGGAAAAAAGCTACACACTGGCAGTGCACCAGATATAACTGCTGCAGCAAGTGCTTTGAAGACTTTAGCACTGCTATTCTGACAGACAGCATCTGTGCAGGTCAGATTAAAGGCTTATTTTAAGCCCTGAAAACTTGGCAATGCGGAAGCTTAATTTGTTCGCCATACGTTGCCATTTATTATTTGCAATCAAATGTATGTTATGTATGTGTCAAGGAGTTCACTATTGTTTTTTTTTACAAAAAAAAAAAATTACATGTATATAGGTGTTCTTCCTGGATAAAATTTTAAGAAATTGTTATGTTTCTAAAGTTGCCTGCTACCGTTTTCCTGCATGCTGAAAAAACATCTTGCAAATTTTTTTTGTGATTTTTTTTCTGGTGCATGGGTTTCTCACAATTGGTAATAAAGTTATATATAAATCATGATACAACCAAGCTGTTATTTGCAGAAAGCGGTGTTAGCAACGGTGGCATGGCTTCCTTCCTAATCAAGAATCTGATGGTTACATGAAAATGTAGTGATACTCCCATCAATAAATATGTTACAATAATAGATCTTTGTACATTTTTAATATAAATGAAATCAAAAAAAAAAAAAAAAAAAACCTGAAGGGTCTTAATAGGTAATTTACATAATGATATACCACCTAAGTTGTATAAAATGAGTCAGGGAGGGGTAGGGTGTAATATTTTCATCTGAACTATACTGCTACAAATAATCAAACTATTATTGTATTTCATCACTTTTTCAAAGGCATAAGATTTTTTTTTAAATTTAAAAATTTTCTTTAGTATCTTTTTCAGTCTTACCTTTAATTGTACTAGTGAATGACCAAATCTCTTTTTTTAATTTTTTGTTTTTAAATCTTTAGCATAATATTGGAGCTGGCAGCAATCTTACCTCCACCCCTTGTTCAACTTCTTATATTACATACTACAATGTAAATATTTATTGTAATATTATTGCCATACCTGGATGTGCCTTGTTGAAGGCTTCCTGCTACTTCATGCGCGCGAGCCAATTTTTAAAAAGAAATAAAATTGTTTATAATTATTGATATGACTGCTTATAGTACTAGTATTTATTTCGTCACATTGCCCATTTGAAAGCATAGTGTGGAGTTACTCTCTAACGATTTGATGCTTTGAAAAGGGTATCTTCTAATGAATACAACCATAGTTGTTTACAATCTCCATATGAATACAACAATAGTGGTTTACAATTTCCATATGAATACAACCATAGTGATTTACAATCTTCATATGAATACAACCATAGAGGTTTACAATCTCCATATGAATACAATGTACAACCATAGTGATTTACAGTCTCCATATGAATACAACCATAGAGGTTCACAATCTTCATATGAATACAACCATAGAGGTTTACAATCTCCATGTGAATACAATGTACAACCATAGTGATTTACAGTCTGCATATGAATACAACCATAGAGGTTTACAATCTTCATATGAATACAACCATAGAGGTTTACAGTCTCCATATGAATACAATGTACAACCATAGTGATTTACAGTCTGCATATGAATACAACCATAGAGGTTTACAATCTTCATATGAATACAACCATAGTGATTTACAATCTTCATATGAATACAACCATAGAGGTTTACAATCTCCATATGAATACAATGTACAACCATAGTGATTTACAGTCTCCATATGAATACAACCATAGAGGTTCACAATCTTCATATGAATACAACCATAGAGGTTTACAATCTCCATGTGAATACAATGTACAACCATAGTGATTTACAGTCTGCATATGAATACAACCATAGAGGTTTACAATCTTCATATGAATACAGCCATAGAGGTTTACAGTCTCCATATGAATACAATGTACAACCATAGTGATTTACAGTCTGCATATGAATATGAATACAACCATAGAGGTTTACAATCTTCATATGAATACAACCATAGAGGTTCACAATCTTCATATGAATACAACCATAGTGATGTACAATCTTCATATGAATACAACCATAGTGGTTTACAATCTCCATATGAATACAACCATAGTGGTTTACAATCTCCATATGAATACAACCATAGTGGTTTACAATCTCCATATGAATACAACCATAGTGATTTACAATCTCCATATGAATACAACCATAGTGGTTTACAATCTCCATATGAATACAACCATAGTGATTTACAGTCTGCATATGAATACAACCATAGAGGTTTACAATCTTCATATGAATACAACCATAGAGGTTTACAATCTTCATATGAATACAACCATAGAGGTTCACAATCTTCATATGAATACAACCATAGTGGTTTACAATCTTAATATGAATACAACCATAGTGATGTACAATCTTCATATGAATACAACCATAGTGGTTTACAATCTCCATATGAATACATGTACAACCATAGTGATTTACAGTCTGCATATGAATACAAGCATAGAGGTTTACAATCTCCATATGAATACAACCATAGAGGTTCACAATCTTCATATGAATACAACCATAGAGGTTTACAATCTCCATATGAATACAATGTACAACCATAGTGATTTACAGTTTTCATATGAATACAACCAGAGAGGTTTACAATCTTCATATGAATACAACCATAGATGTTCACAATCTTCATATGAATA